AAATGCACCTCCTGATGAATGGGGGATGAGGAACAAATGCCACTGCAAAATGCTGCCTCTCCTGCAGGCCCCGAGGCTGCCCTTGTGGAGAAAACCATCTGATGTGAACTCAGAGGATGAATCCTATTGAGATCCTGGATGGCTTTGCGGCATCTTGTGCCACTTCACTGATCTCTGGTTATGCTAATAGTGGGCTAGAAGGAGCTGCAGCCCTGCCCAGCTTCAGGGGCTGCAGGCTGAAAGAAAGCCTACATGTGCCATATGTGCCCTGTCTGCAGCCCCAGAGCTGTGTCCCTGAGTCCTGTGTGACCTGGGGAAACTCTGTGGCCACTTGCTGATGTCCTTCAGCCTCCAGGCTGTGCCCCACTGTCCCCCTTCCCACTTCTGCTGTTGTCCTACAAGAGCTGAGAGAGGGGGGGAAAGGGATGGCTGGCAACCATGTGGGAAGCTTCAGGCTTTTATCTCAGATCTGGGTTTTCAACAGATGTGGTGTGAGCAACGGCTGTAAGACAACTAGATCAGCATCACTGCTCAGAGATTAAAGGATTTAATAATCTGCTGGCAAGATGTAATTGAAAGAGGCAGAGCTCTGGTTGTACAGTGCTCAACAAATGCACTGGGGTGTTCCCACGCTCTCCCTGGGATCCCTCCAAACCCTCCTGTAAGCAGAATAAACCCTCAGTGCATGTGGGGCAGGCCCTTTTCTACACAGATCCAGGGACTAATGTTTCATCTTCCTTTGTAACGTTCTTCTAGGGAGTCCTTCATTCAGTGATCTCAAGGAATAAGGAATAGGGGTGGTGTACTCTGCGCCAGCGAGTCCCCGGGCACCGGAGGAAGTGGTGCTGCTACTTGCCAGAGGTCAAAGCGTCATTCAGCAGCAGCAGTGAGCCAGCAATCGCTGCTTCTCAGCCCCTTGTTCTAATCACTGCTCTGCTGCCTGGTGAAAACCCTTAGAAAACAAGGCAGTGACTGGCTCTGCAAAGCACTGATGACAACAATGCGGAGCTTCTTCCCCCGCTCGTTGGTAGGGTGGGATCATGACCCAGCACAAGCAAGGGATGCTGTGGCCAGAAAACAGAAACTTTTGGCAATAGGCAGAGGGGCTGAGCCTCTTGGAGGGGGCAGAAGCACAGGAAGATCGAGGTCCTCCAGCATAAAATGTAGGGAAAGAGCCCCTGCGAGTGCATGGCCAAGGTCTGTCCTGTCGCGTGGTGGAGGTCTGGCCTGTCACATTGCCAGCACGTCTTCCCCATCACACTGCATGGAGCTGGACTGGGCAGCAGCGAGGGCAGAAAGCTCCTTGGACATATCCAAATGAGCTGGGAGCCCTTCTGAGCTGCCTGTGCTGGCACTGCCTCGCCAGAAGCCAAGCTGAGGTGACTGTGCAGAAATGAGATGTGCCTGGTACATCGAGCCCTTTACCAAAGGTTCTGAGCCTTGCGTGACCTTTCCATCTTCCCTGCTGCCTGGAAGTGCTGATCAAGTCCTGCTCTCAGTGGGGTAGTGCCAGATAAAACAGAAAATGGGGGAGAGGGTTCCCATTTCAGCAATGTGGAGCTGCCTTTCTTGCTTCTGTTATTCTCTGGTTGTCTACTACAACCCTGCCTGGGAGGTAGGTGTGGTAGGAGGCAGGGACGTGTGATCCGAAACGGTGAAAGTCTGACTCCACCAGCAGTGGTGTAGGAGCTGCTCCAAGCATTGGCATGTCCTGCTGCTGTCGAACAGCTGTATCAGAAGCTGCTTGGCCTGCCTGTACAGATCACCTGGAGGCAGGAGGGTGTCTGGGGAGCCTGGTGAGACCCAACAGCACATATGCAAGTATCTGCAAAGGAGAAAAGCATCACTTTTACTTCCCCTCCTCAGGAATTCATCCTTCTGCCAAAGCTTATTTCTTACATGAGGTTCTCCAGGGGTGTCTCAACCAGCTCCTGGGTATGGTTTGGTATTAATTTAGAGTTCCCCTTCCTTCATAACAACAGCGAAATCACGCAGGCAGCTGGCCACTGATGTGCCTGCAGAGGGGTGGCTGCAGCTCAGAGCTCCCCTTCTGGTGCCTAGGTAGTCGCGGCATGGAGAGTGCTGTGGTAACTGCTGCTAAGGGGATGTCTCATGGCACCAGGTAAAGCAACTTCAGCCCCTTTCCTGCTCCTCCTCAGTTAACCTCCTGAGCATCTGAGGCTGTTACTGTCACCTCTGCCAGGGTTCTAGTCCTTGCATAAGTTTTGGATTACAGCTATTCCTGAAGTGGGAGCTAGAGGTGACCAAGGGCTGGGAGGGTCTGTGCCAGAGGGCTCCATGGGAGCTCATCCCTCAAGGTCAGGAACAAGAAATGGAGCAGAAGCTCCTCAGACACCCCGACCTGTGCCTGCAGCTGAGCAGTGGGGCTCTTGTCCCTGCCCTGGCTGGGGGAGGAGTTGGCGAAAACAAAGCTGCTTGTTCTCTGTGGCTGCTGATGCCTCCTGGATGACAAAGATCTCTTCCATCCCTGTGCACACCAAGGGCTGGGCCCTGCTCTGTGAGAGGATTTGAGTAACCAGCCAGCCCAGCACATCACCGCTCTCCCCAGGCAAACCTCCCAAAACTGTTGCGCAACTCGCTCCTTGTGATTCACTTTTCCCCTGCCCGCAGTGAGATCTGGAGGGCACGTATCTGCGGCGTGGTGTTGCAACTCCTGCTGCTCAGTGCTCCTGGCAAGTGGGCTCTGACAGCCAGGAAGAGGTTGTTCCCTTCCACCCCATTCTTCCTAATTCAGTGATTATCCCTCTCACATCACATCGGTGCCCTCCTGAGATCAGGACAGAAGAACCTTGTGATGATGTGGTAGGGAGAGCTGTGAGAACCGCACCACCTCTCACTGGACATCTCCGAATCGACCAGCGCTGCGGTGATGGTCTCCCAGTGAGGATCCCACCAAGCAACCCAGAGCAAAGGTGCCCTTGTCCTTGATGGGGTGTCTCCTTGGGACTGGTTCCTGTGGGGGGTAACATTTAACTCAGGGCCAGTCTTAGACACCACACAGAAAATACTTCGTCTTGTTTGCAGTGTGGATACGTGTGACTTCATACGGCTTCCTCCCTAGGATCCTAAGAGGTAAACTCCTTTGAAGCCCATGAACAAGCTCTTTAGGACAAAAGGATATCGTAAGCAGTAGGGCAAACACCTAGCGATGTGCTTGTGCTGATACACCTTTGGGGAGTGGCTGGAAGCTGCCTGCCCATTGGTCCCCACTTGGTACCCATGGCAGTGCCCTCGCTGCAGAGCTCTCCATGGGTACCAGCAGTTATTTCCTTATCTGCCCAGTTGCCAACAGGAAGCATTTCACATGGTGCCCTTAAACTGATCCAGCAAAGTGCTAAAAATAAACCTTCGCTGTGAAGCCACAAACTCCTGCCCTGCTGTGTCAGCTCCCGGAGAGAACCCATTGACAGAGTTCAAGGCTTCTTGAGATGTAGGCTTGTTCCCCCCCACCCGTGTGCCTGCAAGCAGGAGCTGTGAAGGCGGAGAAATCGAAACACAAAGGGAAGAAACCTGCGTGTTTGCCTTCAGAGCTGTGCTAAACTGTGCTTCGGGAAGCGCTGGGCGGGAGAGACGCGACTCCCATTAAACCTTTTGAGGCAACTCATTCTGCAAACAGTGGGAAACCACTGATTGCGGAACACTTAATTATGTAAGCAAAAAGCAATTGGCAGCGTGCTGGATGGCACCGCGGGACAGCGTGGGCTCGGCAAGGGCTGCTCCTCCCCACGCTGAAGCACTGAGGTCTGTGGCAGCCCCTGCCTATGGGGCCATCTCGTGTGGCTTCAGCAGCTTGGCTCTGGTGGCACTGCCTTGCTGCACAGTGACAGTGGGAGTTGTGACCAAACCGGCCCTCGCCATGCGGCTGCCTGGGTCCGTAACACACCACGGCCCCAAGTGCTCCCTGCCAGCCCCTGGGACAGCCTGGTTTTCACCCCCGTTTCTGGCAGAGCCTGCACAAGGCTGCTGATGGAACACCCCTCAGCACAGGGCCTGGCTGCAGCTGCTCACGGGTAGTCGTGCGCAGGGGCCCGGCAGCAGCGCCCCCGGCTCTGCGGTGAGGCTGGGCTGGGACTGGCGGGTCCCGGGCCTGCGGAGGCCGCCAGATGCCCCGGGGCACCGCTGAGGAAAAGGGCTGCCGCGGCGCGGTGACCCCCACAGGCACCCACCGCCAGGGGGCAGCCCCCGCCCCGCCCTCTGATGTCACCCCCGGGGAGGAGGCGAGACTGGCAGGCCGGTGTAGCCAATGGGAGCTCGGCGAGGAAGGCGAGGAGGCGGGACTTCCGCCGGCCCGCCGGAGCTAGGGTGGGAAGGCGGGGCACCGCCCCCACAGGCTCCGCCCCCGGCTCGCGGCCGCGCGCGCGGGTGACGTCACCTCGCGGGGGCGCGCGCTGCCGGCCCATTCTGTTCCTCCTTTGCGGCCTTACTGCCACCGCGGTGCGTGCTGACGTCGAGGCCTGCGCGCGGCGCGCCCGCGCAGCCTCGGTCAGTGGCTGTGGGGAGCTGCCGCCGTCCAGGAAAGCCGCGCCGGGACGAGCCGAGACGCGTCGAGCCGCACCGCACCGCACCGCGGGGTTATGAGTCCGGGCGCCGCCGCCTCCCTGTGAGGAGCAGCGGGCCCGTGGCGGCGCGGGGAACGCGCCAGGCTCTGGGGCCGCCCCGCGACAGGAAGCCATTTTGTGGGCCCCCTCCTCGTCCTCCTTCGCCGCCGCCCTCGCGAGCGGCGCGGCCGTTGCTACCGGCCGGGGTGGGCGGGCGGACCCGCGGCGGGGGCGCCCGGTGAAGGCGAGGGGGTGAGCGGGGGGCCGGAGCGGGCGGCGGTGGCCGCCGCGCCTCCCCATGGCGAAGAAAACCTACGACCTGCTCTTCAAGCTGCTCCTCATCGGGGACTCGGGGGTCGGCAAGACCTGCGTGCTCTTCCGCTTCTCCGACGATGCCTTCAACACCACCTTCATCTCCACCATCGGTCAGTGCAGCTCGCTGCCCCCCTCCCTTGGGGTCCGGTTCCCCGCGGCCGGCCTCCCTCTTTCCACCGTGGTGGGCGCCTGCCCGGGGCTTTACCCTGTTCTCTGTGCCCTGCCTCTCAGCTCTCGGTCGTGTTTTAAAGGTTGGACGGAGGATCCTTGAGGTCCCCTCTAACCTGGGGTTCTGTGGTATTTTGTGAGATCCTCCCCTTGTGTCCTGGTGTCCCCGGGGACCCCCTGTCCCCACCCTTTCTCCTCCTTGCTCTTGCTGTCGACGCAGAATCCTTGCCCTGGTCACACCCGACGCCGGCTTCGCCTCTGCTGCAGGGAGAAAGGATTTAGTTTCTCTCCACAGTCGGGTGCAGCAGTTTTCCCGGTGGCCCCAGCGACCTCCCTTGGGGCATGCTGGCAGCCTGTCCCCACATGCTCTGCCAGCTCCCAGCGAGGGCCCACCTGGTTCCTTCCATCACCGGCTCATCCTCAGCCCCTATGAGGGCGGTGGGGTGACCATCCCTGCACAGTGTCTTCACTGCTATTGATGTGGCTTAGCAGAAATGATCATGCTCGTGGGTGGAGTCAGTTTCCTCACCCAACAAAGCTGTCCTTCCCTGTCTGCGAGCGAGCTGCTGGGCTGCTGTCAAAGGCGACCTTTCAGTGGTGCGCAGCTTCTCGTTAAGGTAGTTTTCTTGACATCATGAAGGAGAGCTGTGTGTTTCCCTAGGCTTTCCTCTTTCCATTTAGTCTGCTGTGAGACAGGCTGCGTACCTAATGTCCTTTCTCCCTAGGTTTATTACAGCGTTTTTCTTTCTCAACACCATCTTCTTTTGCAGATGGAGAGTTCAGGTCAGCAGCTTCTAACCTTCTCAGTGAGTGACTCTGGCAATTTAAGAGAATTCATGCCTCCATTCATTCTTGCAGTACCCGTTGGTGTAATGAGTGTAGATACCTACATCTGGATAAAAGAAAATTTTGGCAGAGGGTTGAATTGGATCTGGCTTTTTGTGTGTGATATAAATCCCTTAAATGATTGGCCCTACAGCCATTCACCAAGGGTAGGAAAACACAGAGTGTAAATCCTAGTGCTAGGTGTGTGTACACTGCTGTATACTTCCTCATCAGTGCCGAAACGTCATCCTAAAGTTGCATCGCAGTCTATGAGATGTAAAAAATGCTCTTAAGCAAGCCTTGGGTAATTTGAAGTGAGGGAAAGTATATTTGGGACAGCTAAGTGTCAAAACACAGTAGCCTAAGAGATCTAAGATCTTAGGGTCTCAACTCATTGAGTTGCTTAATTGTTCTGGGGGATGCACATGAGAGTCACTTAATCTTGTCTCTTACCATTGCATACCTTGGCTAAGGAAGGCTGTATTTATTGTGCTGCTGTGGCCGTAGTTTAACTTTGCTTGGCAAATTCCCGCCTGGATCACATGGTGTTTGTTGCTTTCCGAGTTTGCTGGGAAGGTTTACTTCAATTCTCAAAGTTAAAAATAGTCAATGTCTCAGTTAAGAAGTCAGCGGGTGTATGGCGGCTCTCTGTCCAGAAAACTTGTGCTTTCAGTGACCAGTAATTTTTAGTAATTAATAATTGAGTAATTAGTATTAGTGGTTGGTCTAACTGCAGTTGTTGAGTGTTCAAGCAGGGTAACATCAGGTTTCATAGTAAGAGTACATGTGCGGAGTTTGGAAGCATTTTGGAATAGTCAAACCAATTTAGACCAGTGGATATTTATTTCTGGAGTGCATAAATTGTTTGTAGTGCTTGTAGGCTGACAGGCAGACAAGCTTATTTCCTAGATTCTGAACTAAGTATCTAGTTGTGGTGGTGGTGAGCACCACTCAGTGACTAGTTGGCATGTCGAAGCATGTCAGACTTGAGTCTGCATAGTGGAATTCAGTAGATTTTGGGGTACAAGAGAGATTTTTATGTGTGGTGCTGAATTCCATTCCCAAATTTATCTTAAATGTATTGTTTTCTTAGTTCTTCTGGAAATAATTGGTTAAAGAGGAAACCTCTTGGGAATGTGTCCTGTGCAAGAAGTGTCAGTTGAAAGGAAGACTCTATGTTGGCATGTTTTAAAAAACAGCCCATCCATGAAGGAAGAATCCTGACCTCCATTAAAATATCTGTCCACTGGTTGTTCTCCATGTCGTTACAATAAAGCAACTGAGTAATCTGTGTGGAAGTAATGCTATTTCAAAGTGCCACTGATAACTACAGTGATTAGACTTTCTCAGGTTCTCCTCTGCTGCAGCAGTGACGCCAGCAATGGCAATCCAGAAATGTGGAAAGGTGCTTTGCCTGCTGGGACCTGCTGTGATGAATCCCACCACAGCAGCTACACAACTTGGGCTGCTTTTGCAGCCAGAAGCGGAGAGCTTCAGGAAAAACCTCAGGCAGAGTCTTTGACCTGTAGCAACAAGGAAATGCTATTTCCAAAGCACTTGTGTACACAGTAGATGACATTGAAGGTGACTGGCTGAATCTCTCCTTACATTTGGAAAAAAAAAAAACAACAAACCAAACCTGGTAGCTTGTTAGCTCTGATTCATGCTTCTGTGTTTGCACTGAGCTCCACCAAGAACCCGAGATAGCTGAGCATGTAAAATGTGTTCCTGGCCGTAAGCAGGGGCTGTTTGGTTGTTACAGGAAAAGGGTCTCAACTAACATTGAAACTAGCCTGCATGTTACTTTCATCTTCACACATTTTAAGAACTGATTAAGCATGATCCACGCTTAATACAGTTTGGGTATAATTTACTGTATGTGTGATTTGGTATGTTCTCTTCCACGTTTGACTTTGAATCACTTCAGTCCAATATTTCCTGCTAAACCAGCAGTTAAGCTTTTGGATGTGCTGAGGTGTGTGTGTGAACGGTTTCATTACCCTGTCTAGAGGTACTATAAATATCCTGATGGCTCTTCTGCAAGAATCCCTAAGTCATTGTAACCTCCCTGGAGGGAGCAGGGGCCTTGTCCTCAAGTGCTGTGTTGCCGTTTTCAGGGTAGAAAGGGAATATGTTTCAGAAGACGTAATGTTATCGCAAACCATTTTTAGTTTTAATGACTTTTTGATAATTCTGTGGTGCAAAAATAATTTTTAGGGTGTCTGTTTTTTTTTTTTAGGAGTTGTGCTGACTTTCCAGTTTTGCTCTGTGGATACTTTATTCTTGGGTCCAGTCTGCTGGTGGTTGTTCGTTTCGGCACTGGTGCTGTTCCCTGGGAGGCTTCTCTTAATCGGCTGCTGCCTAGCTTCCTCTCGTTGCCAGTTTGAGTACTTCATTTGCTGCCTCTCATGCTTCCAGCAGGTTTCCTTTATTTTTCATGTTAAAAATACTAGTATAAGTAACTTTCAGTCAAGGTATACTTGATAGCTTAATCTTTTTTAGTAATTTATTTTTATATTGGCATTCAGTGTGTCAAGTTGATGACAGTTTGAAGTGCAGAGTGGTCTGCCTGAGCTCAGTGGTATGCTTTGCTTTGGAAAGCTCTGTAGAGTGGGCAGGTAAAGTGCTGGCCTTTCCCTGAGCACAGGCAGGTAGAGAGGACTGCCCTTGCCAGGATCGCTGTCTGAAAGCTTGAATGTCAAAACTGGGCTCAAGCATATAATTGCTATTGTTTGACTAAGTAAAATGCAAATAAAGATGAGTCACAAAATATGCTTTCCCATGAAATCTGACTGCCTCTAGTCCTGTGCTCAAGAGAACAAAGCGTAGGTGATCGTGGTGAGGTTTCCTCTGAATGCTGCTGATGCAGGTGAAGCTGTCATGGATCTAACCTGTACTCAAGGTGTGGCTGTGTTCTGTGCTTCTCGTCTTTGCTCATGCTGACGGCAGCTCTACAAATCCAGACAGAGAGAAAGCAGTGTGGGGTTTTGAGGTCTGAACACAGCAAGGTCTTGATGCCAAAGCTGTGTTAGGAGGGTGCAAAACCGTGTTGGTTTAAATGCAAAGGTGTAAGAAAACTATTTTTAATAGTTTAAAATCTGTTTTTCTTTTTTTTTTTTATTTCTTTGGCCTTTATTATAAGTGATTATGAGTTGCTAAGCACTTGCTTTGTAATTGCATACTAATACATTTAAGCAGTTAAGTTTTTTTAAAGTCAATCATCAGATAACACAAATAGCAAATAAAACAAGTCACTTCTCATATAAATAAATATTCCGTTTTAACTTGGAAGCTGAGGACGTAAGTATTCAAGGCCAGGTTGGACGGGGCTTTGAGCTGCCTGGTCTGGTGGAAGGTGTCTGCCTATGGTGGAGGGTTTGGAACTAGATGATCTCTAAGGTCCCTTCCAACCCAAACCATTCTATGATCTTGTGAGGACTATGGGATATATTGGAAAGGAAGGAGTCCCATATGGAGAAAGGGGAAAAAATTTGGTAGATTGTGGGAAAACAAACTAGGTGCAAATTATGTTTTGAATTGTGAAAATGCTGTTAGCTGTGTGGTGGTTGCAATGAAGTTTGAAAAACAAGTGGTTTCTGGGATCAGAAAAAAAAGTACTGCTACAGTAGTTGGACATACCAGCTTGCTTTTTCCCTGTATTCTTATTTTTACCTCAAATCTTGTAGGGACAGTGAGCAACTTTGAGTTTGGTTTATGTTCTGCTCAGACTGTGGGTTCAGCCTGTGTCTGACTCCTGGTGTGGAGCAAACGGGTTAGGAAAAAAGCCCAAACCAATAAACCACACCCCCCAGCAAAACCCTGACCTCAACCTCTGTTTGGTCATTTCCATGCTATGGGGTCTGGAAATAACCAGGCAACAAGAGATGCAAAAGTCATTTCCACATACTGGTAATTGAGCTGTAAAACCTGCCTTCATGGAGTGGTTTTTGGAGGGGAAAACACAAATAGGTTCAGAATGCAAGTAGAAAATTGAAGAGGATGCCTTGGTGGGTGATGGACATAATGCTTTGGATGCGGTCTTCACCTTGGGAATCCCCTCTGCTCTTGGATGCTGGAGGTTGAACAAGTGTTCTTTGGCCTGAGGAGGGTGGTTTCCCTCAGCTCTGGCTTCTGAGGCACCCAGGAGAAAGGCTGCAGAGTGGATTGGATTTACAGCATGGTATGGTATGGTTGAGGGAGGTTTGGGGTTTGTCTTTTCTTGTTTTTTTTTTTTTTTAATCTAGGGCTATGGCTAACAAGCAGCAGTTCTGCTTGCACGTGCCTTACAGCACTGATGAGAAGTGTGTGGTGAAGGCTGAGGACCTGAGTGGGCTGGAAACTAATTTTTTTAACATTGGTATTTTTTCAGCTGGGCTGGATCACTTCCCTGATCTGGCTTCTTGGGTTGGTTACCATGTAAATATGTACTGGCATAATGCAGAGGGAATCTGGGGACATAGAAGCATTGGAATAGGTGGTATGGAGAGGATACTTGTGAAAATTCACTTCAAGGTGTTTGTTCCACACTAACAAAGCGCTTGACAGCAGTGCTTTTCCCTAGTGTTCCCTGCTCCCATTATGAAATGGCCCCTAACCTAGTCTTGCTGCTCTCTCTGCTGCTGCTGTCGTTGTGTCAGGCCCAGAACAGTTGTCGAAGGGTGAGAACCAGGCTGCTGAACTCCTTCCTTGGGCACATACCCGTGCAGTGGCAGCACAGGACACAGAAGCCCTGCTGCTCCTTTTTCTGTTTGTCCTTGCACTGACACACTATTTATGTTCAACTGAAACTAATAGGCAGCTGTTACCTAAATGTGCTAAGTATGATCCAAAGATATGGAGACAAATGGGAAGGAGTGAGCAGAGGTTGGCTGCTCCACTTAAGCCAGCACCATGTCCAGGAGGAGACTGAACTGTCGCTTCAACAGTAAGTGACAAAGAGTGGATGAAGTCACTAACATTTCCTAGGTTAAAGTGTGTTATGGATTTAGAGTGTAGGCCTGTGGCTTCTTGTGACAGGCTGTCCATATAATCCATGGTCTGCTCTTGAATTTCACAAGACCAAATGTGAAATGCCTGTTGATGTTGGCAGAAAACCTGCTCAGGATCTGTGAAGCAGGGGTACAGCCTTCAGTTTAAGAAACCAAGAACTACTTTTTAGTACCTTGTTGAGTGATAAGTACAACTGAGGGGCACAGAGAAGGGATTTCCTCTTGACTTCTTGATTTACCTTTTTCAAAAGAAAATCTGCTACTCCCCTCTCTTTATCCTAAGAACAGGTTTAATCTTCTCTACCCTTAAACTTGATATTTAATTAGAGAATTGGTTGTGAGTCTATTGATAAATACTTCATAGGGGATAGGAAGGATTGTTTTAGGTTGTGCTAGGCAGATGTTGCTGCCTGTAGTCCAGCTGAGCTGCATGTGCGGGGTTTTGTCTTGGCAGGCCACGCTGGCTGTACCTGCTCCTGGCGGCCCTCAGGAGCAGGGTGTGGGCTGCTTCCACCCTTCGGTGGCAACCACTTGCTCCTGCGCTCCTCCTTTCTGGAGCTGTGGAAAGGCAGCATGTTCTTGCTTGTTAGTGGTGCAGTGGAGGGAGAGCTGGAGAATCTTGGGAAGGATGGTGGCTGGGAGTGGGCTGCTCCTGCCAGGGCACTTCATCCTGCCTGGAGGTGAGAAATGCCCAGGAAAGATGCTGGATGAAAGCAGGTTACAGAGATCCTCCTGGCTGTAGCAACTGGTGCCTGTTTTGCTTTGTGACCTTCTGATGACACATGGAGAAGGGTTTCAGTCTGTGTTGATTTTGTGTAACCCTAGCGAGGGGGTAAGGTATTTCTGAAATCCTTTGTGGAAAACCAGCTTATCAAATTCCCTGTGCTGTGGGAAATCACTGTCTGGCCCTGGGGAAAGAGACCAGAGCTGCTGCTACAAGTTGTCTTGAATGTTTAGTGTTTCGGTACAACTTAACTGTGTGGGTTTTTCTTTCTGGCGTGGGTTTAACTAGAAGTTTTGTGTGGGTTTAACTAAAGTCTCTGCATGTTTTTGTTCTGTGCTGTAGCTAAAACTACTCGGGGCTTTCTTTTCCATTGGGATTGTGTCTTATCTGTATAACTTGCAGAAATACCCATTTGTGTCTTGCATTTCTAAACTCTGACTTAATGCTCTCAGAGAGAGTACTGCTGGCTTGATTGTTGTTGAGCATGTAATTCCTACACAGACATCCATACTTGTACAGCTTCTTTCTTGAGGATGCTTTTCAAACTGGTCCTGTCATATTTGGACTAATGCAGCTCTACA